TCGCTCAAGCCTCAATGCCAAGCCCCATGACAGCCTTGACCTGAACTGCGACAGCCAGGACTTCGTGGCCGCCATTATTAGTATCCCTACTCCTCCTGCCAACACCCCAGATGAGAGTCAACCTTCCTCCCCTGATGGCAGCAGTGGCAGGGCCAGCAGCACCCTCAGGAACTCCAACCTGGGTACCCCTTGCCTCCTCCCTGAGACTGTCAAGATCTCTTCCCTGTGAGGGGTGGGCCTACTCTTCCAGAGGGCCCTCTCAATTCCTGGGGACTCCTTTCCAAAGCCATATTTTGGGGAAGCAGAGAGGGGAAGGCCTGGGGACCCCTTCTGCCCCCCACCAAGAACTATGCAATGGAGTTTCATGGAATGGCCCACCTGGTGGGGAAGTAGCCAGGGAATGGGAAACTTATCCACCCCAGATGATTTTCCTGGTGGGAGCTGAAGTTCTGGGCTTCCACAGACCCCCCACCTCCTTGGCCCCTCTCCCCGAGCTGGCATCCTGCATGCTCCTTCTCTCGGGCCCTCAGAGGTGGGTAAAGCTCCCATCTGATACTTGAGCTCTGGCCTGAGAAGGAGAACTAAGATTTCTTCATCTCTCTGGCTTGGCTGTGGAGGTTTGGGACTTCAGAGAAGAGAACCCTCACCTCTGATCTCAGGTCCAACAACTCCCAGACTCTGAAGCTTGGAATGCAACCACAGGCTTCCATGGGCTGTGGCCTCAGCAGTGACCTGCCACCCCCAGGCCTTGGCTGAGGGGTCAAGCTGCCCCTCCCAACATAGACAGATAGCACAAACACCACCAGCCCCTTCCCTAGCTGCTGGAAATGGGTCCCTGCAACCCTGTCTTCTGCCAGGCCTCCAGCAAATTCTAGCAATAGCAGATGCTGCCCTGACATTATGCAAAGCCTCTGCCCAGTTTGCTGCAGTATCTACATCAGAGGGGCCACCTCTAACCAATCATCCTTTTTCTCCTGTCTCTGGTTTGCTTCCTTCCTGGGTTGGGCTGGAGTCTGGACTGGCTGAGATAAGAGCCTGGCAGCCAGCAAGAGCTGGGCTGTGCTTGGAGATCATGGGCTGATTCCATATTCTTGGGCAGGAGTCCAGAACCATCAGGGGCTGAGGCCTGGGTTGTTCTTGAACTCTGGGAGTTGTAGGAGGCAGGAGGAACTTCTTGATCTCCTCTTCTTTCCCCACAGCTCCTTTTTACATATTCCTTTCTCTTCTCCCTCTTGGGTCACCTTCCGGAACTCTGTGTCTGCTCTCAGGCTGAAATCTGGCATCATCTCAGGTTCCCTGTCCCCAGCACTGTCCCTGTGGAGCTGGTGGCTGACAAAGATGTAGTTTCCATTAGTCAATAAAACCTAAGAGGAGAGATAAGGACCGAGCACCTCCTGGCTCTGGGGGCTTTGCGGCTGGGTTGGGCTGGGGGTTGAAAACACTCTGATTTCAATTCCTTTCCATTAGTAGAAGGGCTGGTGTGAGTAAAGGTATGGGGTGGGGGGAGGGGGTGGATGGCTGGTGATGTATTCTGGAAGATTCAGATCTAGGAGAGATGAAAAAGTGGTTTGGAAATTGAATCTACAGACAGTGAGGCAGGCTAGGAGGTCCAGAGACATGCCCCTTCGGCCATCACCTGATCCAGCTCTCTCATTCACAGATGGGGAAACCGAGACCCAGAGCAGCACATAGTTGGTTAGAAGAGAGTTAAACTCAGGTTTCCTGATGGCAAACAGCTCTGAATTTAACCCTAATGAAAAGCACCTCTCAGTTTGGAGAAATCCTCTTCCTTTTGGAAGTCCTTTTCATTCTCTCTCCCGAGCTACTGGCTACACTAGGTTAGTGTGTGACTGAGCTCTATGGAGCAACGAGAAGACAGATCTTGGATTAGGTTGACCTGGGCTCCAATCCTTGTGTGAGAGAATCACTTACCTTCTCATGCCTCAGTTTGCTAATCTGTGAAATAATCATCCATTTATTCACCAAATATTTATGTATCATAGTCCTAGAGATAGACTTACAGAGTTGAGCATGGAAGGCAGAAAATTAAGCAATTATAGTGTTGTAGGACTGAGATAAATGGATTGCAGAAACATGTAGATAGCAAGAGAACCTAACCTGCCTGACATATAAAGGATTCATTGGAGTTAGCCAGGCAAAAGACAAAGGGGTGAAAACATTTTAGGCAGAGGGAACAGCAATGTGCAATGACCTGGAGGTTAGAGAGTGAGCTGAAGGTGTTTGGAGGAACTGAAAGTAGTTTAGTATGGATGCGGAGGAGAGTGTGAGGCTGTGATGAGGACAAGGATATAGAGGTAGGCTGGATCACAAAAGACCTTTGAAACTATGATACAGATTTTGGACTTCATCCTAAGGATAATGGGGACCTCTGAAGGCTTGTAAACAGGAAAGTGTCATGGTGAGGTAGGTGTGTTTCAGAAGGATCACTCTGGCTGTGGAGAGTGGATTGTAGCGAAATAGTTCTGGAGGCAGGAAGAGCAGTGAGGAGGCTTTTTCTGGTAGTCCAGTTGATAGGTGATAGTAGTTTGGACCAGGGTAGTGGCAGTAGAGTTGGAAACTCAAGAGATTTGGGAGGTAGAATTGTCAGGACTTGGGACTGGCAGGCATGTGGGAGTTGAAGAAGAGGAGTAATCAAGATTGACTTCCAGGTTTCTGGTTTGGGTGATGACTGGATGGGCCATTCACTGTTGGAGGGAACATCAAAGCTGTCAGTGCATGTGCCAGGCACATAATAAGTTAGCCATGATCATTATCATGAGTTCAGTTTTAGATGTGTAGTGCTGGACAAATATCTAGTAGAGACTGGGATATATGGGTCTGGAGTGAGATGGTTGTGAGAAGACTGTGATAATGTGCATAAGCATTTGGCAGTTTCCTGAACACAATAGGCCCAGTAAACGTGAATTACCTCCTTCCATTAAGGCTCATGCGCAGAAAACACAACTAGAGCCCATTTATTACTGATACTCTTCAGGGAAGAACTGAAGGGAGCTGGTTAGGTGGCAATCAGAGAGATTTCTGATGGTCTCTTAGCCTCTTTTATGGCTTGGCTCCTAAGACTGACAGCCAATGCTCTCTTCTTACAACACCTTTTCGGTTCATGAACTCATCCAAACCCCATAACTACTCCTTGAGATAGTCTAAACAACAACAACCCCATTGTGGTCGAGTCCGACTCATAGTGACCCTATAGGACAGAGTAGAACTGTCTCTTAGGGTTTCCAAGCAGCGACTGGTAGACTGGAATCGCTGACCTTTTGGTTAGTAGCCTAACGCTTAACCACTGCGCCACCAGGGCCCTGAAGGTAGTCTAGGCAAGCATTATTCCCATGTTACACACAGATAAACAAAAGAGACAATGACTTGCTCAAGGTCACACGGCTGCTAATGGTCCATCTGGTCCTGGAACGGAGGTCTTCCTGACTCCAAAGCCTAGGGGATCCTTCCACTGCACCACCAGACTAACTTGCTGAGCACTTACTATGTGCCAGGCACGGCACCACACCCTTTACAAGCACGGACCTGATACTCATTTTGAAAAATTGGAATTATTTATTGCCATTTTACAGAGAAGTAAAAATTGAGAATGAGGGGTTAAATGACTTGGAAAGGATCACTCAGAAGGAAGGGCAGAGATTGAATTAGCTTGCAGCTCTCTAGTCACTCAACAGCAGGGATTTTACCAACCCCATTGCGAAACGCTGGCTGGTAACAGCTGTTTCATTAATTCGCTTGCTGTTGTGCGCCATCGAGTCGATTCCGACTCATAGCGACCCTATAAGACACAGTAGAACTACCCCATTGGGTTTCCAAGGCTGTAAATCCTTACGGAGGCAGACTGCCACATCTTTCTCCCGCAGAGCGGCTGGTGTGTTCCAAATGCCACCTTTCCGTTACCGCTAGACCCAGTAAAACCTCTGCTTCAGACGGGAAAAAAAAAAAAGGCTGTGTCGTGCCTGCGCACTAACCATTGGAGCAAGGAGGTCAACGCGAGGGCGAGAGTGTGGTTGTGCCAGAGGGCGTGTTTGCTTCCCAAGCTCCTAGTGCCCACGGTGCGTCTCTGTTCCACGGTTGGCCCGTCCAACGTAAGTGGCGGTGTCCCTTAACCAATCACCGCAGAAATCGCCCTGTTGCCAGGGTGAAGCGGCGCCCGCCTCTCTGCTCCAAGGGGATTTGCAGGTGGGTGGGACCGGAACTGACGCTACAAGGGAATGCTATGGTCTGGGAGTGTTGATACTTTTCAGTCAGTCCAGCTGACTGCTGCCAAGTTGGAAGCTTGAAGGGTAAGGGCTTTCCTTATCGCGCGCGGAGCAGGCCGCGCGGTCCTTTCGCAGTACCCACGCCCACGAGTCAGAGCCTCGGGGAAAGCAGTGAAGACCAGAACCGGCCAACGAGAAAAAAGGCAGGGAAGGAGGGTACCGACTTTAACTGAAATCTAAGGCGGAGGGCACAGGAGGGCTAGCGCTCGCCCCTGATTGGTCCGCAGGCATCGTTGAGGCCCCGCGCAGCTGCTTTGATTGGTTGGTGTTCTCAATTGTTGTGGTGGCGGCGGTGATTTTGCCCACGTACTTCCGAACGAGGGGCGGGTCTGTGCCCTGGAGTGCGTGCGCAGCGCCACCCGGGCCCCACCCGGTAGTTCAAGAACCTGCGAGGGGGCGGGGCGAAGAGGTACTTGTTTTGGTTCTGTTTCCTTTGAATCAGAAGGCAAAAACGAGCATAGCAAAAAACTTGCTGGACTTGGGAGAGAAGGCTGCGAGAAACTCGCAACGGTACCTTCATCGTGGACTTCACATCCGGGTTCTCCTCCTGGCGTGACCCGCGCGCCACCGAGGGTTCTCGAACCGGTGCTTCAATCCCTTTATCCGGGTTCCGCCGTTCCCGACGTCCTTCGCGCACCACAGTAGCCCCCCCCCCCAATCCGGGTCCTCTCCCAGCGTGCCCCGCGCCGGGTTTGCTGGGGGGTACTCGGCGGTGCCGCCATGACTATTCTCCCCAAAAAGAAGCCGCCGCCTCCCGACGCCGACCCCGCCAACGAACCGCCGCCGCCC